GTTAGCATATTTCTTTTTTTTTTGCATAAAGCGGAGTTGATGTAACCTCCTACCATCACGAGAAGCTTAAAATCATCTTTAGGAAGTTACACACATGACCGCTATACGCGTGACAATAACTTAGTAGAAACAAGTCATTAAACAGTGTACAAACGCGAATGGCTAAAGCTATTTTTATACGTTTAATTCAAATGGATTCGCATATGCGCAAACCCATTTTTAAGGTGTGCCCAAACGTAGCTTTTGAAATGATCTTAGGATTTACTTTTATTGTCCATATCTGTTATTAATTTTTCAAACGCGTTTATAATAAGAAATTTCAATTGCCTCTGTGCAGATACGGATGCCTTGCCATTTAAATTCTTTCTTTTTCGTCTAACCTTTACGTTAGTAACAATTAAACAAGCAAATATCAAGTGGAGTAGTTCGGGAGCCTTTGTGACTCAGACAGACATCAAGAGCACAAAAGTGCGCTTTTTTATCTTTTGAAAGTGAAAAGCGCACTAAAAATCACTCTTCGTAGTGAACAAGAACTTATGTAAGCAGAATCGATACATTGAAGATCTTGATACTCGCTAGCGCAGGGTGCCCTCTACTCGGTAACATGCCACGCACCAGCATGCTGTACGATTCGTTAGCTCCTCTATATATTATAAGGAATGCAAGTTATTGATACTTTCCTCTAAAGGGGATTGTTCAGGTTCTACGCGTTCGGACATTACCACCTATTAGGCGGTAATGGTTCGGAGCTTATCGCACATTGTAACTCTACGAAGTAATACCTACACCATGTCGACACTTGGTTTGTATGCCTATATCTATTTTAACAGGTACCCGTATTCCATTGAGGATTAAAATTTCCGGTTCCGGGGGCCGTATTCTACGTTTAACACTACTACAATACATTGTCTTTTTTTTTTTCAAGTTCAAATATAAACCTATAAACAAATGCAATTCTCTGTAATAAGTATCTCTGCTCGTCCCTGTCTCCCTTTACTGCTCTTGATGCACAGTACCCATTCAGCACAGCTTGTTAATAGAGCTCAAAAGTAGTTTCAAAAGTACTATCAGACAAAGTTTTTATAATTTTGAAGGGGACACAGGATCTCTTAAGACCGGCGAGAATACTCGCATTCGCACACTTTTTTCACGAATTAAAAGGAATCGTTAAAAACAATGCCCTCGTATCATCTCTATGCGGTGAGTTCGAATCTGACAACTTGGCAGTTTTTAGTGGTACAGAACTTACCAATGCTTCGGAGGACATGTAAAGGTGGCGGGACCCAGCAGTGTATCACGACTATCGTTAGGTCATACAGTCGAGGGAAGATCAGGAATTGTTTCATAATTTATTGAAATACTAGTCCTTAGAGTATATTTACTGTGGCTGTTGATTTTAAAGATCGTTTCCGAAGTCTCCCAGCGAATATAATCTACCCAATGCACATCAAATAACCCACTTAACGTACAGAAGGTCATTTATCTTGGACTTAACGCCTTCTCATTCGATTGGTATGATGATAACTAACTGTAATCTACGAGTATATTGAAGGTCTCCAACGTGAAGGGGGTCGTTCGTTTACTTGACGAATGGTTCAATCACCCCTGTAATAACGTACCGCTTGTTTACCAAAAAAAAAAAAGTTAAATCAGTCCATAACAATTCGGGTCCCATTCCCCATGCAAAACATTCACTGCCAAACCGGTCAAAATCTCCTCGCATTGACTCATTTTTACGGTTGATTGATTAACCTCTACAACGGTTGTTTTGATATTCATGATTTTAAGGTGATACTAAAACTGCCGAATTTTACGACGAAGCCAGTTAAATCAGATTTGCCTAATAGGTCTACATTCGCTCGCTAGATCTACATACCCAAATAGTAAATACATTGGACATGTACCGCAACGGGAGATCCGTCTGATTTAAATAAGTGAGATGTTTCTGATTAAACTCAACTGTGCGAGGAAATAAGGTCAGTTGTCTTGGAACACTCCGAACGCGATGCCACTAACCTGAACACAAATCGTACACGAATGGACCCACAGCCCAAGCCTAATTGCGAACTCTACAAATGCGATTCGTACTCAAACTCGAACCGAATAACTTCCATACGATTTGAGATCCATCGCGTTCATGGATGCACGGATGAACGATGACGATGACCTGTGTTCTTGATTGATTATAGATTTCGAGGGACACAGAAGATCAAGCGTATACACTGGTAAACAGATAAACAGGTAAACATAAACAGATAAACAGGTAAACAGACAAACAGGTAAACAGATAAACAGGTAAACATAAACACATAAACAGAATCAGCTTTATTTTAAAAAAAAAAGCAGATCTTGTTTACCTGTTTATCTGTTTACCTGTTTTATCTGTTTATGTTTACCTGTTTATCTGTTTATGTTTACCTGTTCAGTTGTTTACTAGTTTACCTGTTTATCTGTTTACCTGTTTGTCTGTTTACCTGTTTATCTGTTTATGTTTACCTGTTTATCTGTTTACCAGTGTATACGCTTGATCTTCTGTGTCCCTCGAAATCTATAATCAATCAAGAACACAGGTCATCGTCATCGTTCATCCGTGCATCCATGAACGCGATGGATCTCAAATCGTATGGAAGTTATTCGGTTCGAGTTTGAGTACGAATCGCATTTGTAGAGTTCGCAATTAGGCTTGGGCTGTGGGTCCATTCGTGTACGATTTGTGTTCAGGTTAGTGGCATCGCGTTCGGAGTGTTCCAAGACAACTGACCTTATTTCCTCGCACAGTTGAGTTTAATCAGAAACATCTCACTTATTTAAATCAGACGGATCTCCCGTTGCGGTACATGTCCAATGTATTTACTATTTGGGTATGTAGATCTAGCGAGCGAATGTAGACCTATTAGGCAAATCTGATTTAACTGGCTTCGTCGTAAAATTCGGCAGTTTTAGTATCACCTTAAAATCATGAATATCAAAACAACCGTTGTAGAGGTTAATCAATCAACCGTAAAAATGAGTCAATGCGAGGAGATTTTGACCGGTTTGGCAGTGAATGTTTTGCATGGGGAATGGGACCCGAATTGTTATGGACTGATTTAACTTTTTTTTTTTTGGTAAACAAGCGGTACGTTATTACAGGGGTGATTGAACCATTCGTCAAGTAAACGAACGACCCCCTTCACGTTGGAGACCTTCAATATACTCGTAGATTACAGTTAGTTATCATCATACCAATCGAATGAGAAGGCGTTAAGTCCAAGATAAATGACCTTCTGTACGTTAAGTGGGTTATTTGATGTGCATTGGGTAGATTATATTCGCTGGGAGACTTCGGAAACGATCTTTAAAATCAACAGCCACAGTAAATATACTCTAAGGACTAGTATTTCAATAAATTATGAAACAATTCCTGATCTTCCCTCGACTGTATGACCTAACGATAGTCGTGATACACTGCTGGGTCCCGCCACCTTTACATGTCCTCCGAAGCATTGGTAAGTTCTGTACCACTAAAAACTGCCAAGTTGTCAGATTCGAACTCACCGCATAGAGATGATACGAGGGCATTGTTTTTAACGATTCCTTTTAATTCGTGAAAAAAGTGTGCGAATGCGAGTATTCTCGCCGGTCTTAAGAGATCCTGTGTCCCCTTCAAAATTATAAAAACTTTGTCTGATAGTACTTTTGAAACTACTTTTGAGCTCTATTAACAAGCTGTGCTGAATGGGTACTGTGCATCAAGAGCAGTAAAGGGAGACAGGGACGAGCAGAGATACTTATTACAGAGAATTGCATTTGTTTATAGGTTTATATTTGAACTTGAAAAAAAAAAAGACAATGTATTGTAGTAGTGTTAAACGTAGAATACGGCCCCCGGAACCGGAAATTTTAATCCTCAATGGAATACGGGTACCTGTTAAAATAGATATAGGCATACAAACCAAGTGTCGACATGGTGTAGGTATTACTTCGTAGAGTTACAATGTGCGATAAGCTCCGAACCATTACCGCCTAATAGGTGGTAATGTCCGAACGCGTAGAACCTGAACAATCCCCTTTAGAGGAAAGTATCAATAACTTGCATTCCTTATAATATATAGAGGAGCTAACGAATCGTACAGCATGCTGGTGCGTGGCATGTTACCGAGTAGAGGGCACCCTGCGCTAGCGAGTATCAAGATCTTCAATGTATCGATTCTGCTTACATAAGTTCTTGTTCACTACGAAGAGTGATTTTTAGTGCGCTTTTCACTTTCAAAAGATAAAAAAGCGCACTTTTGTGCTCTTGATGTCTGTCTGAGTCACAAAGGCTCCCGAACTACTCCACTTGATATTTGCTTGTTTAATTGTTACTAACGTAAAGGTTAGACGAAAAAGAAAGAATTTAAATGGCAAGGCATCCGTATCTGCACAGAGGCAATTGAAATTTCTTATTATAAACGCGTTTGAAAAATTAATAACAGATATGGACAATAAAAGTAAATCCTAAGATCATTTCAAAAGCTACGTTTGGGCACACCTTAAAAATGGGTTTGCGCATATGCGAATCCATTTGAATTAAACGTATAAAAATAGCTTTAGCCATTCGCGTTTGTACACTGTTTAATGACTTGTTTCTACTAAGTTATTGTCACGCGTATAGCGGTCATGTGTGTAACTTCCTAAAGATGATTTTAAGCTTCTCGTGATGGTAGGAGGTTACATCAACTCCGCTTTATGCAAAAAAAAAAGAAATATGCTAACTCTCTTGTTACTTACCAACAATTCGCCGAGGTTCCCAACTGTTCATGATGTAAAGAAAATATACGCTCACGTGTTGATTCTCTTTTATTTTATATCTCTTATAACACATAATACAATTAACGGTATTTAGGTAACATAATAAGTCTTAACACCTATCGATTTACTAGGAATGTAGTATATGCTAAGTACAAACTATTATCCAAGATCTGATCATCATTCGACGATGTTTTCATTCATTATTCCTGGAGATGACTGATTCGTTGTTACTCGACGATGTCGATTTTTGAGGTTTTTTCCTCTTCACCCTCCCCTTTTTTAACTTTTTTAAACCCGTAAGGATATGAATCGTACTTGCTGAAACGTCTTTTCAATAAATTAGGACGAAATATCTTCTCTTTTTCAACAGTTAACACTTGATGATCTACGGTTCTTTCAAAATTCTTGTACAATATCTTTTGTGGAGGCTCTTCGTAAATTATCATATTCTTCATTGTTTCGAAATTTACCGATTTTGATACTTCATGATTAATAGATATCCCTTTGACCTTACACGATTGAAAGTGTTTATCTTGCGTAGGAGAATAAACCGCAAAACCATAATTTTTTGGTCCGCCTGATGCAAATTCGGTGATATAACTTTCAGGACCGTAAACCTCCAGTTCGTTGGTCATATCGCCAAGATAGTTACCCGTTTCGGGTTCATATTCACCTTCTCGTGAGATGTAGATGATGCTATCCGTATCAAAATACAGTACCCGTTCCCCCAGCTTTTCCATGTATGAGTACAATTTTAAACGGGCTTGCGTAGTGACATATGCTGCAATTGAAACATTAACAGTACTTAAAGCGCTATATGACTCTTCTTTGTATTGATAATTTACTACTAAAGTTTCCTCGTTAATTGCCAAAATTCCAATAACTTCAACTGCCGGATCAAGCAATAGCGAATACAGATCAGCTGACTGTTTAATAATTTTTGTTTTTGGTTGATTTTCGCGTTGTCCAAATTTACCAAAAAATGAGTTTAAAATAAGTTTTGCCAGTGATCGTAAACCTGGGTTACTAACAATATTGTCAAAATCCAAACGTATCCCTTCTTTTTCCAAAAATTTATCGATATATGCGATTTTTTGTTCGTACGTTTTACAATTTGCGGGCCACCCACTTGCTTCTTGTTTAATTTTAATAAATGTGTTCATCATTTCTGTGAATAATCCCCCTGATTTCCCATTATATTGTTCGGTTCTATAATCCCAAACTTCGTAAATTTTTAAAATTTCATACCCCTTTTCTAAAGCTTTCACAAGTTCATCCGAAACCCAAGTGCCCACAATGGCCCTATCCTCTACATCGTGACAGCATTCCTCTTGATTGAAACTTTTGGCACACGTCAGACACAAAGGGAACATTAATTTTTTATTTAATTTTATCGGAAGTACGGGGTGAAATAGATTTTGTGGAGGTAGTACCTTACATTTAATGATAGCGTCTATTTTGGAAATATCGAGATTTAAGCAGTCGTCCCCTATGATCACTTTAGGATGTCCGATCGGGAATTTCCCATATTTACAAACCCAGGGGTACAACGAGCAGATATCAATATACTTTATTTTCTCCCCTTCTTTCACGTTGTAGTAGGACTTGATGTTTCCAGTTCGTCCACCATAAAAGCTATCTCTCACATTTAACGGGGTGAAATTGATGAGCGGGTGTTCAAATACATACTTAGCAATGTCCTGGGTTTTATCTTGCTTAAATTCACATTCCCACTTCATTATGACCTCGTACCCTAATTCATTTAAACGAGTTATCTTGGAGCGAGTATTTTCATATCTTAAATTCATTGTTTCTCCGCTGTTATTGTATACAGGTTTGTCGCGATCGTTTTTAAAACATTTCACGCAGCCATGGTAGAAACACCCCATCATTTCAAATACCTGATTTGTTTCAGCACAAAACCCATCGACCGGTAAACCATCTAATACGATTTCTTTCCCTTTGGCGGCGTGCAAGATGTTAATTTCTCTGACTTTTTCCTCCCATATTAACCACTCAATTGCTATTTTTGATTGATTATCCCGATAACGATAGCCATTTCTCGGAATTAGACCAATGGTATCAGCTTTCAAAAAATTTCGGCGAAACAATTTATTACATGAACTGGCAATCGTGCAGGCTTCCGAAAATGGACAGATATTACCGGCTTGAATTAATAAATCTCTGAATTTTAAACAAGCCGTTGTTAGAATATTCACGTCTGATACGCAGTACGATACAATTTCTTTTTGCATATCAAAGACTTTGTCTTTGTTTTCATTATACCAAAGAATGAATTTTTCTCTATCTTCCGGCATCATTGTGTCCGGCCCATAGTACTGAATATCGGGATAAGGTCCTGTATAATACTGATTTTCAAGGGTATTAAAGTGATAAGGGAAATAACCCTTTCGAAAATTATCATTCAAACCAAATGCTTTAGGTAATTTCGATAGAGCCATTGGAAAATAGTTCAAGGAATCCAAAAATGTTACATTATCGATATACATAGAAATAATTTTAGACCCACGCATAATCAATTCGGGTTTCAATTCAGTTTTTGTTAAAATATAATTTAAAATAAATTGATGATCATATGCTTGCCCATTATGAGCCAAAACAATTACATGTTTGAATCTTTTCCTAATCTCTAAAATATAATAAACGAGCCTCTCAATAACATCGGAAAATTTTAAGATCTGCTGTCTTACGGCACAGTTGGTACAAATAATTTTTTCAAGCGGTTCATTTAAGCAAATCTCACACCTTTGATTAAAAACACATAAATTTGGTTCGTGTAAAGTTTGAAAGTCGCTAAATCTTTTATTTTGAGTGCATTCAAGGTCGTAGAAAATAAATAAAAAATCTCTTAAATTTGGGGTGATACTGTCAACAGGCATATAACAAAGATGATCATCTGGTCGGTTTTTCTTGCAGGTTTTACAGTAATACGAGTTACAAGTGTGTTCCATTCCTTCTCGGATTGTTTTATAACAAGTTTTACACTTAAACAATTTTTCACATACCGTTTTAAGTTCTTTAGGGGCTAGTTCTTTGTGTTTATTGAAACAAGTTTTAGAAACAAAATATCTACTGCAGTTGGGGCATTTTATGTGTTGTTCGCGATCACAGGGTGGAGCATGTTTGCAAGAGGAACAAACACCAATGCAACTGTGACCGAATTTATTGTTATATCCCACGTGACACTTATCACAAAAATAGCGACACACAAAAGCAGATGTGAGTGAGGCTATTACATTGTAATGATTATTACAATACAGTAAATTAATTTTTAGGGATGCGTCAGAATCACCTTCAAAAAGTATATCGCGCCACTTCGTCCCGTAATTGTAAACTACAATTTTAAAATTACTCAGATGCGATTGAAATTTTTGTAATTCAAGTAAACCTGCCCCATTTGCTCCTATTTCAACTTCAGCTTCTTGCATTAACAGTTTTGCTTTTTGGTATTGAATTTGCGCTCTGTCCTTGCGTATATTATGGTAGTCAGGATCACCGGTTGCTTTAGCTATAGCAACAACAAGAGCTCTCGGTAAACATAAATTATCTACATTTTTAATACAAACAATCCCTTGTCTCGCAGCGCATTCCTCCTCGAAACTGCTATATTTATTATTAGCCATTCTTCCTCTACCTAATGGAGGACGAACAATGGTCACTTCCAAACAAAACGTATCTGTACTCAACCCCACGGAATTTGATTGGTAGATAGAGGAAATTAGTTCCCATATATCATCAAAATGCACTGAATCGGCACGTTGAAACTTCAAATATCCCTCTCCGCGCGAAAATTTTTTGGAACAAAAGGTAAACCCTATCATATCTTCAGCAGAAATCTTATCGCAGGCGTACCTAACTATCTCCCGAATCGCGCCCTTAATCCATAATAGACTGTTTTCGTTAGGAGGTATTTGTTTTAATCTAAATTGAATAGATCGCCCTCTTAAACCAAATCGTTTAACGTTCTTTACAAACTCCCTTTCAATTATAAACTTAGCCATAGTTGTATTTTCTGTATAGGTACCTATAGTAAAGGTATGTGCCTAATAAAGTGAGTTTGCTAAAAGGATGCAAAACGGATAAACCCGGTTAGGTATTACTCTTAGACAAAGGAAATAAGAAAATGGACCGATTGATTTCTTTTCTTCTCCCCACCTGATCTGTTATAACAAAATTATTCGTGCTTCAATCGCCCTTTTCCTATGGCCAAGACGCTAAGAAATAATAATGAAATGGAACACCTTAATATTCTTTTGGAACAAAATTTAACAACAATGCGGATTATTACGTCCTTCACACTCGGCGTTCAACGCGTTACTGACAGAAGTCGTTGAAAATTTTCTTTTTATGATGAGAGAAAACGGATGACCACCTGTGTTTTATTAACAGCGCTGAAATAGCATTGTTTCCGTAGATATAATTGAGAGGTAATACGACGTTATAGAAGAGTTCTTAATTTTTGAAAAATTCAACTTATATTATTTGCACCGGCCACATTTGAAGGTATAGTTGCTACTTTCCAAACAAACCAATCGCAATTTTAATTATACCCACAATGAGAACACTCTGGATGCATACTGATGAAATGGAATGTTGGGAATGCACTTTTATGTAATACTAGTGATCACGTGGTATAATAAAAGATGATGCAATACTTATCTCAATTGTGTCGATTTTCGTAATAAGGGTACTTGTACTAGGGTTTTAAAGATTTGAACAATTAGTAGCAATAAGAATCATCAAATGTGCCTAATATAAATCAGTAGGTAACTTCGATGCGATGCTTAGGTAAGTGTAAAATAAATGCAAATGCACTTGCATTACATACATCTGTCACTTACGGCGCACAAGATGCAACTAAAAGGAATTATTGCAAAAGTCTATTTTTACAGTTAATGGGAGAAAGAAGGTAGCGAGTTTGCGACGTACACCTGATTTTTCTAAACATCGTATCGCAAATGATTGTGAGATTCAAGTGCTTTTTTTTTTCTTCCAGCCAAATTAATGGAGAATTCGGGTAAAGTAACGGCCGTATTCAACACATCAAAAACTAACGTAAGCTTCTTCCTACGCTGGATCCGACCTTCGAAAGCTGGATCCAGAAAAAATAGGCCACCCAAATTTCGGTGTGCCTAAAAGCCATCAAAATTCCCTACAGCCAAATTGCGCGAGGTTAGATGTCCAAAATAGCGATACCAAATCTCACCAACTAAAAGCTAAAAATAGCTATACGTCTCGTACACGTGCGCGCAAACCTCACTTTCGCCTGGCGCGACATGTGACTGTCTGGCTCAGGTGGCCCTTTAACTACT